TGACTCCAGGAGCCGCTTTCCAGTATGCACATTGGCGCGCTCCAGAGCACCTCGGGGGCGCCACGCACTAGATTTGTACCGTTCCAGTATCATGGCGTGAGACGCCTGTCTTAGTGTCAAATATGTCAAATTTTAAAAATAATTATCTGTTTGTTTGTGCAGTTTGTTTTTTTATTTATCAAAAATGAAAGAGAATCAAAACTATATATTTTAAAATGTTCAATCTTGAGATATAACAAGAAATAAATAGATAAATAGCCACCCACAGATGTGACAACTGATAGGTTGACGCGAACGTACAGCTCGGGGGCTCCACGCCCCGAGTAGCTCCGGGCGTCACACTCCCATACTGGAAAGCGGCTCAGATCAGGTTCGGAGTGGGTTTTTCGATCGCTCTGGAACACTGCCAATTATTAACACTAGAACCAGAACAAGAACAAAATAAATTGACTTGGGATCATGAGTACCCAACCTTATATGTTCTATATTTGCTGTTGACTGCTTGATGGGAAACTTGTCTTGTACCTATCTTGTATAAATTAATTTTTCATAATGTCATTTTTTAACTAGCGCCATCTATTATTATTTGTAACATTTTGTGAATTGTCGGCGCCATCTATCATGTCCCATTGACGTCATTTGCGTTGAAAGCAAAGCGTGCGAAGCGAGTTTTTGTTTTTTTTTTTAAATTCAATTACGTAGACGGGTTAGCTTGAGTTAGTTTACATAAACTGGTCAAAACGAAATAAGGACCACTTTTGAAAACCCATTTATTTTTAATGAATTTTGAATAACCCTGGTAAAGTGTGTATTTCCATTCACAATATAAATTTTTTGTGCACACTTTATTTGTTTATCTATACTTATTGTAAATGGAAATAGTCACTTTACCAGGGTTATTCAAAATTTAATGAAAAGCCTGCTCTTAAAAGTGGTCCTTATTTCGCTTTGAGTAGTATATTTTTGGTTAGTTTCGTTACAGTTCGTTTATTACTGGTTATGGAAGCGCGCTTGTAATTTTAAATTCAATATCAACATACAAGGACTAGTACGCATTACGTGGACGGGTTAGTTTGGGCTAGTTTGCATATATCTGGTTAGTTCCGTTTAATACTGGTTATTTCTGGTTGACAACAAAGCGCGCCAAACTAAATTCAATATTAACATACAAGGACTAGAACGTATAAAGCCTAGTACTCATAACTGCGAAATTCGCATTTTTTTGACATCGCTTCGACAATTTGACGTTTGATACACGCATAAAACGTCAAATTGTCAACGCAATGTCAAAAAAATGCGAATTTCGCAATTATGAGTACTAGGCTTAACGTTGACGGGTTAGTTTGGGCTAGTTTGCATATTTCTGGTTACTTTCGTTACAGTTTGTTTAATATTGGTTATTAAAAGCAAAATTTCCAAAAAAAAATCATTTTTGAGGCGACCCTTAAAGCGTACCAGACCTAACTGCATTCTTTTTACTCCAAGTGACTCGCACTTTAAAGCAGCGCGTTCCTTTTAGAAGATGCACTTGAATCTTGAATTTACTCCGAACAACAACTATAGTTCTAGTTTTTAGGGTTGTGACTTGGAACCATTCGCATACGCAGTTCAATAGTTCAAATTAGGTTTTTATTTTTCAAACAACCAACATTTTGCGACTAGAGGTTGAGAATCGGGGGGCAGGTGCAACAAACACTTTCCAAAAGAAATAGGCGCGTAACGCCCCGGAGCTGTTCCGGAGCATCTCCTTAAGTCATTACAACTATTAGAGCTGGGTTCAGCTATTCAGCGCATAGTTGGAGTGGAGTGAAATGAGCTAATGGAGTCACCCCTAATACGGTGAAAAACAATACCCGAACCTTAACCCGAACGGCTGGAGTGCGAATGGAGTCACTCAGAGTGCACGGAGTGAGCAAGCCGAACCCACCTTAAGTGTGTCACACCTAGGAGAAGCTCTGGAAGAAGTTACAATAAAATATTACACAAAAATGTTATAATAATAATAATAACAATAATAATAAAATAATTAAGTTTTAAAACACAAAATGCAGCGCAGAAATCTGCGGACGAATTACGACATATAAAATTACAGAACAATCACATATCAGAGAGAAGTTTAAATTTTCTGTTAAAAATTCTTGTAGGGTATAGTATGATTTATCCAAGAGATACTTCTTTACCTACTGAAGGTTTGAAATTAGTTTTAGGCAAACTCTTTACCCCTGTAGGAAGTTTGTTGAAGAATTTAATAGCATAATAGTTATTAGAGAGTTCTCGTGCCGTCCAAATTTCAAATACCGTAACGCTATTTGACAAGTATGACAGTTCTTTCGGTATTAGCGTTAGCGGAGCCCGCTATCTAACGGAACTTACCGGATGCCTTAACGTAACGCTATGCTATGTCAAAACTAGTTTACGCTCCATTTATGTCTGCAAAAACAGCAACTTCTAATAATTCCTCCATAAAAAACACCAAGGGAAAATTAATCAAGCTTACGAATCTTCAGAATAAATGAAAATTAGAAAAAAAGCAAAAAAAGTGGGGTTATATTACTCAACTCAGCTATAAAAATGTAAACAGGATAAGGGATTAGAGGATTTATGTGTCTTCGTGCCCGAGAACTATAAAATACCATGTGAAATACCGTATTGTTAACGGTACCGTATTAGCGTAGCGTCTGACACACGAGAACTTTCTATTACCACCCACCACCCAGCTCAAGCACGAACTCACCATTTAAACGCACGAAAGCCAGTGCATCTCTCCTTTCAAATCGTGGTCGACTAAGCTTAATTCTCACTTGTGCGAAATCCGCTCTTTTTTGACATTGCTTCGACAATTTGACGGTTGATACACGCATAAACGTCAAATTGTCGAAGCTGTCGAAAAAAGAGCGAATTTCGCGCAAAAAGAGCGAATTTAGCACAAGTGAGAATGAGGCATAAGACTGGAGCGAGTAGCTTTAGTTAGTGTTCTTAAAAGGAATACAGCTTCTTGCATACAAAGTTCCGTTTAATGTTTTTCTTTTTTCAAATAACTGACATTCAGGCATATCTTTAGTTGTATTCCTTTCACACCTAGGAGCAGCTCCGGGGCGTTACGCGTTTATTCCTTTCGAAAAGTGTTTATTGCACCTGAGTAATCAAGCCCGACTGAAACCATTTTTAAATGCATGAAAGCCAGCGCATCTGTTCCTTTCAAATCGGGGTCGACTAACACCGGAGCGAGTAACAAGTGTTTCATACTCTTGAAAGGAATACATCTAGGCAATTCAATCCATCTGTCAAAAAGGAAAATTCAATGTGGCGTGGCGACCAAGCAAGTTTGTTCTGATTATGTTTTTATGCGTATTTTAAATTATTTCGCATACAGTTTTGCTTAAAACTTTGATTTTCATTATTTAATAAAATATTTGTTGACTAGTTACCTAAACTATTAATTCGGGCAGAAACTATAAGATATTTTTTTGTGTTTTTTGGCCCATGTGTGGCCGCCACGCCATCTTGAATGTCACGTGGTTTGAATAGACCTATCTATTTTTACATGGTATGCGCGCGCAACACGAGGCAATGCCTTTCTATTGGTTAACTAGTACAGGTGAGAGGTGTTCGTTTTGCACGCTGATCTTCTTCTTGTCCTTGTTTATTGCCGGGGATTGAGAAGAATGAAAGTACGATTGATATTCAACTTGACATAGCTTGACAAGTGACATTCAAAAGTTGTTTTTGACAAATACGTTGCACAACACGCGGTCTTTCTCCTTCCTTTTTTATCCCGTGCAAATAAGAAGAACGGATTGCTATAAGTAAGTCTAACATAATTTGGTACGTTTGGCCTCGTCTTGCGCAATTAGCGTTCTGTGTCTTTTTTTATCTAATGAAGTTTTCGTATTTTTACCTCTTTGTCTGGTAAAATAGATAGGTCTATTGCCTAACTGTAGCCGCTTTCGGTCGGGTGCTCCTGAAAATTTCACCTGTGGCTGTCAGTGACCTGTTATACTCCATGTGTTTTGCACTCGAACGCTTGAAACCGAACGGGTCAAACTGTAGCTGGAGTACTTCGGAGTAATTCAGGAGCACTCAAAGGGTAGCACCCGAAAGCAGCTCATGTATCATTTTCTGTTATTTTAACAGCAACGTTAAGTTATCTGGCACTGTTTATTCTATACGTCAAAATTAGTTGTATTCCTTCCAAGGGTTTGAAACACTTGAGCTTCTCGCTCCGCTGTTTAGTAGCCCCCGATTTGCAGGGAACAGATGCGTAGTGCAACAAACACTTTTCGTAGGGAATAAGCACGTGAAGCCCCGGAGCTGTTCCAAAGCTCCTCCTAGGTGTGAAAGGAATACAACTACTGAGACACAAATACATGATGAGCCGACCTTAACACAGCCGTTAAAATAACAGGACAGGATCACAACCGATACATCATAGGTCTGATTATTGTTATTATCTATTATGTTTGCAATACAAATAGAAAACTTTATTTATTAGAGCCTTTTTTTCGCGTCTACTTTTTTGACATTGGTTCAAAAGAGGTTTGAAACAACAAAAGCTGGGTTCGGCTTGCACACTCCGTGCACTCCGAGTGACTCCATCCGCACTCCAGCTGTTGTCTGATTCGTTAAAAGGCAATACCCGAACGGCTGGAGTGCGAACGGAGTCACTCGGAGTGTGCAAGCAGAACCCAGCTAAATAAGCACTCGTTTCAAACCTGAAACAACGTCAAAAAATTGGACGCGAGAAAACGCCTCACATCTTTACCGCAAATGAATTCGGAACAGGAAACCTTGAAACTCTAGAACCGGTAGAGCTTGTTCGGAATCGATTTTAATGAATTAAAATATCTTAACTTTTTAGTAAGCATGTACTAAAACAGACTAGTTTTGAATCCTTTATTGCAAATAATTATAAAAATATAATTATTTTCTTGCTCTAGATCAAGTTGGTACAAAATGAAAACCCCTAGTCATGTGTACCGTTAGTTGCCAACCTGGCAAAAAAAAAACCCACTATGTGACGTTCTGACATTACAATCCGCAAAATCTGTGTCCGGAAATTTTCATCAATAGTTTTTCCAATTCCAATTAAATTAAACAAGAAAAATCTCAAATCATGGATGAAGAATACGATGCAATCGTGTTGGGCACCGGCCTAAAAGAGTGCATCCTTAGCGGTATGCTCTCGGTTTCGGGCAAAAAGGTTTTACATGTCGATCGTAACAAATACTACGGTGGCGAGTCCGCCTCGATTTGCCCTCTGGAAGAGCTCTTTACGAAATTTGGGGCGCCGGCCCCGGACGAGAGCTACGGCCGCGGCAGGGACTGGAACGTCGATTTGATACCGAAGTTTTTGATGGCCAACGGATCTTTGGTCAAATTGCTCATACATACTGGCGTTACGAGGTACTTGGAGTTCAAGAGCGTCGAGGGCAGTTATGTTTATAAGGGCGGAAAAATTTCTAAGGTGATTTTCGAGTATTTTTATTTATCGTAGATTTTTGTATTTGCAGTGCCCTTTTGACCTTTGTACAATGTGCACCGCAAATTCTAGTTCATAATAATTGTTGTTCGAGTAGGCCTTGTCCAGAAACATACCTAATGACAAAACGCTGTTTACAATCAAACTATTTGAAATTCGAATTTTTAAACTGGTGCAAAATCGCGGGCTAGGATTGTGACGTCAGAGTCCCCAATAAGGCAAGGATACTAGCATTCCGATTCCGCCAGACTATGTTGTATTCTTGTCTTTTATTAATGATTAGACAGAGACAAAGATGTCCATTAGATGTACTAAAAATAAAACTTGTTGGAATTCAATATGGCGTCGTGGGAATAATACATCTGACAACCGTGAAGGCAACTTTATATTCAAATTGCAATCAATTGGAATTGAATGTAAACGCCCCTTCGTATAATGACTGCGTCGCCATCTTAAATTATCCTTTTAAAATCGTATAAATTTATATCGAAAATGAGCAAGAATGGCGGCGTGGGCGTGGTTTCTAGGTTCCTATTCAAAAATTAGCAAGAATATGGCGGCGAGATCTCTATTGTCCTCACTGTATGAAAAGATATATTGAGTCACTGTATTATAACCTTTTTGCTTTACTAGGCTATAAAAAAATTAAGGATTAAAAGGATAGGTATAATTAGGCAAATCAAAATTCGAATAAGCTGATAATTCAAGATGGCAATGTGGGCATAACAATCCTGACGACCTAGAAGATGTCTTTACATTAAATTCTAGTTGATTGCAATTTGAATGGAAATTGAATGTGAATGGGCTTTTACAGCTGTCAGGTGTGTTATTCCCACAGTGCCATTTTGGATTTAGAGAACATCAAGGGCCATATTCTCTGTAGTTCATAAAGCCTGGCTTAGTGGAAATGCTTGGCTTTTTGTGTGACAAAGCCGAGCTTTTTCACTAAACCAGGCTTTATGAACTACGGAGAATATGGCCCCAAATCGCCCTATTAGCAGAGCCGGATTAACCATATGGCGGAATTGGGCGATCGCCCAGGGGTGAAAAGTCAAAGGGGGCGAAAAATTTCAAAAAACTCCCAAGAAAAATAAGATGGAAAAAATCAGAAAATCAGACAGCAAAATGACAAAAACTCGACTTCTTACACATAATATGACAAAATTTTGACCTTGGAACTGGATTTTTGTGTAAATTTGTTATAATAGCTTTATTCGGTTTGAAAAATGACAATTCTAGAATGGTTCAAAACAATTGCACAGTTCATCAATCAACAAAATGACAACCGCTCGGCTATCACACAAATTTCAATAATAAACTGTGGATTGTTTGGACCGTTCTAGAACCGTCCGTTTTTCGAACCCGAACAGGCCTATTATCTGATGGAGGAATAAGAACAAAAGCGCAGCGATTCAAGGAAATATGTAAAAACGATCTGGTCGATTATTTTCCTCAGGAATGTCTTCACTATAAATATTTTCTGATTTCTAATTGCCACGATGGCACCTTAAATTTGGGAGAACTTTTACAAAGTTTTAAGTATGAAAAACTTATCTCGACATTTACCAATATCGAGGTACCATTGAGAATTTCTCTTTGCCTTCCATTCACTAACGCGTCTGGAGAAGAGGAATAAAGACCTCAGAAACACACTTTCAGATGATAAGACCTTGGCACTAATCAACTTTTCTCATGCCATTTTTAACTCAATATATAAGTATTTGTTTTTTTTGTATATTTAATATAATATATTGAAGAATCTTCCAATGACAAAATAAAAAATTATGATATAGGCCAGAGCCTGGAAGGGGGCGAAATAATTTTAATTGCCCAAGGGCGAAAAAAAGCTTAATCCGCCCCTGCCTATCAGGCAATCCAGTTTTTTCATAAATAAAGTATTTATTTACGACTAATGTATAATGTGCATATTATATTTGTGATTTTGGCAGTATAATGACATATGTTATTCCACCAGGGATTAATGACGAGTAGCGGGATTAATGGTCATTATTCCACAAAAGTGTCAGTGTCAAACGTGTAGTGCTTGTGGATTTGTATTGAAAATTATGAGACGGATGAAACTTGTTCATTGAAAATCTCAAATAAATTAATTTGTCGTACATAAAGTAGAGTATCATACTCGCAATAATGGCTATTATTCCCTCGGAATGTTACTCCCTCGCCGCTAACGCGGCTCAGTTCGTAATAATCCTCGGGAATAATAGCTATCATTATTGACTCGTGGTATAATCTACTATTATAGCTGAGGTCATTTTTGTTATCTTTTTCGTCGATTTGCTCCAAAATTTTGACAGGCAGGTGATTTGTAAACTGAAACTGTTTTATCCATTCACGTGCCTATCAAAATTTTTGAGCAAATCAACGAAAAAGACAAAAACGAAATTGGCCTGTTCTCTGGCCTTTGTTGTTGTAGATGCCAAACATGACAATGTCAATGTCAAACCTAAATTTCAATATGACAAAATACCTAAGGCTGAAGACACAATGACAAATACAAGGTACAAATGACATACAAAAAACCATTATATTCATGTCTCTTGTTACTTTATCCTTGTATTTGTCAGTGTCTTCAGTCCAAGTAATTTTTCACAGTTTTTGACCTGAACGGCCATATTGAATTTCATTTCACAAGCCAATGGATTGCCTAATTGGTAAACTCCAAGGTTCCTAAAGTTAATAGGGGCTGAATTTATGTAGTAATTCCTTAACCTTAACGTTTAGAATTGACATGAATAACTTGTCAAATAGTAGCATGTGTCCATTCTAAACTCACGATCTCCAAGAAAAATTCAAGAAACAACTATAAATTCTACCATAGGTCATCTGGAAATGGGTAACTTCTTGGGTAACTTGATCACATCATAAAATTTATCAGACAACCTACCTCCCTCAAACAACATCCTTGGGGTAAACTATTGTTACCTAGTAGGATACTTGAATGATTTTAGTACAATGAACTTAAATGTTTGTCCCTATGTTTATTTATTTATTTATTTATTTATTTATTTATTTATTTATTTATTTACTCTTCACAAACACTGATTTCCAGTAATTACATGTAAAGGTTTGTTGCCAAATCTGTCTTAAAATCTGATATATGTACAGGGTGGTCCAATTTACCTATATATCAAAGGACCCCGCAATATTTAAACGGAAATTGGTTACCCGTGATATTTGGATGAAATTTAAATATGTTATTGGAAATGCCTTAAGCAACATTTTTTACCATGGGCGCAACCTTGTATATATGACAGGTGAGGCGGTATCAGCTGTCAAATATTGATTTCAAATATAAGTCAACCAAGGAAAACGAAAAATGTCAACCATTTTGACATCTGTCAAAATGCTGCCAAACAGTTTTCAATATTTCATGATGTGTCATTTAACACTTTCAACCTATGTGAATTCTGAGTTCAAGAATTAAAAAAAAAAATTACAGAAGTGTCAAAACCTGTCATTTGTTTTGGTGAAAAAAAAAATCCAATTTGGCTCTTTTTTGTTTGAAGGTAGCTTATTGGTGATAAAAAATTAAACAAAGCGCATTGACATCAAATTTTGACAGCTGTCAGAATCTGACATTGACTTTATTTGAAAAAAAAAAACTGAACTTCTGTTCCAATTACTTAAGTTCTGCTTATTTATTATGAAACTTAAAAAAACTTTATACACAGGTTTTAAATTTTGACAGCTGTCAAAATTTGATGTCTATGAGCTTTGCTTTATGTTTTATTACCAATAAACCACCTTAAAACAAAGAACAAAAAAAACAGATATGAATCTTTTTTCCTACTAAAATAAATGACAGGTTTTGACAGTTTTGTAATTTTTTTTCCAATTTTTCAACTCAGAATTGACATAAGCTAAAACTGTCAAATGACACATCATGAAATATTGAAAACTGAAAAATATGAGTGCTGCCGTTTGGCAGGGTTTTGACAGATTTCAAAATGGTTGACATTTTTCGATTTACTTTGGTCGACTTAGTAGAAATCGATCAATCATCAAAATCTGCCATAGTTACCCTGCTTTTGAATATGAAATTCCAATATTTGACAGCCGATACCGCCTCACCTGTCATATATACAAGGTTGCGCCCATGGTAAAAAATGTTGCTTACAGCATTTCCAATAACATATTTAAATTTCATCCAAATATCACAGGTAACCAATTTCTGTTTAAATATTGCGAGGTCCTTTCAATTTATTAAAATTTGAATGAGAATTGAATGTAAATGGGCCTTTGCTACTGTCAAATCGCCCTATTAGGCAATCCAAACCAGGTGACATTCAAGATGGCGTGGCGGCCACACATGGGCCAAAAAACACAAAAAAATATCTGGTTTCTACCCGAGTTAATAGTTTAGGTACCTAGTCAACAAATATTTTATTAAATAATGAAAATCAAAGTTGTATGCAAAATAATTTAAAATACGCATAAAAACATATACAAAACAAACTTGCTTGGCCGCCACGCTCCATTGAATTTTCCTTTTCGACAGATTGATTGAATTGCCTAATTGCTAAACTTCAAGGTTCATGAAGTTAATAAATTGTTTGCCTTTACGGCTGTCAGGGTGTGTTATTTTCACGACGCCATATTGAATTGAGAGAACGTCAAATCGCCCTATTGGTAAACTTCAAGGTTTCTAAAGTTAATAAATTGTTTATTAATGGGTCACTTGACGTCATCTGGGGTGCCTTATGGAGATTAGCATTGTGTTGAGGCACCCCAGATGACGTCATAAAAGTTATCAGGCAACCTACCTCTCTCAAACAACTTTGGGTAAACTCTTGTTGTTACCTAGTACAATGCCAAGATATTAGTATAATGAACTCAAATGTTTGTCTCCATATTGCCAAATCTGTCTTAAAACCTAATATACGTACAGGGTGGTCCAATTTGTCTTTACATTAAATTCCAATTGATTGCAATTTGAATGGGAATTGAATGTAAATGGGCCTTTACGGTTGTCAGATGTGTCATTCCCACAGCGCCATATTGAATTGAAAGAACGTCAAATCGCCCTATTGGTAAACTCCACAGTTCCTAAAGTTAATAGATTGTCTGGTAAAGGGTAACTTGATGAAGTTAGCTGGGGTTGGAGATTAGCATTATGTTGAGATGACGTCATAAAAGTTATCAGGCAATCTACCTCTCTCAAACAACCTTGGGTAAACTCTTTTTACCTAGTACAATGTAAAGATATCAGTACAATGAATTTAAATGTTTGTCAATCTGTCTTAAAATCTGATATACATACAGGTTGGTCAAATTTGGACTTTAACAGGAAAAGTCAATTTCTAAACAATATGCAAAAAACCCCCCCCCCCCCCTCAAATTTCATGAAATCATGATTGGTGCAAATCGCATTTTGGTATCTTCAACCGTTTTATCACTGAAGGGAGTTTCTGATCTCTTTTTAGAAATTGATACTTCCTATTGAAATTGGACTACCCTGTGGTACTAAAGTGAAGACATTTCAATATTTTTGTGTTGAGATTTTATCTTTAAATAATCATTTGAGATCCCCAAAACTCCATTAGGTAAATTATTGTGAGATTTGAAGCAGAAATCTTTAAAAAAAAGACCTCAGGAAAATTGAAAAATCCCAAAATTCACTCCAAATTCCTTAACACGATTCAGGAACTATAAGTCCAAATGAGCTAAAATTCTCAGGGATTTTAATCCTCTACTCGGATAAGAATTGCTGGAAATTTCAGCTCTCTTCCTAGAAAAGAAAAAAACTTGCGATTTTTCAAAGTTTTCAAAAATCCAAATCATTAGCAACCTTAGTACCTGAATGATATGAGAAATTTCAGCTCTGTATCTACAATAGAAAAATAGTTATTTATTATATAAGGGATAAAAGTACTAGATTTTAGTGCGAGGTGTGGTTTGTGAGACAACACAGCAAGCGCTAAAATCTTACTTTTTTCCCGCGTATAATACACTATTTTTTTCTGTGACAGGAAAATCTCACCATTTTCCATCTATACATTATTCCCTTTGAGAAAAAAATTTGACTGGTACCTGTTACTTTTTTCCCTCGGGAAAAAAAATTGACTGGTACCTGTTACTTTTTTCCTGTGGGAAAAAAAAATCACTTTTTTCTCATGGGAGAAGTGTCATTTTTGCCCCTGTCTACCTGTTGAAAAAGTCTACACCCGTCACAGAAAAAAAGTATTGATTATTCAAAGTTTTCAAAAATCCAAATCATAAGGCAACCTTAGTACTAAAATGATGAAGTTTTAATTTTTTTTGTGCTGAGATTTTGTGTTTTAATGAACATTAGTGAACCTCAAGGGCTTGTGATTTTTCCTTCAAACATTGGGTAAAAATTTGATAAAAATCCACTATCAAAATGTCAAATTTTTGCTGCTCTTCTCTCTTTTTGCGCATGATATTATTGTTTTTTCTTTCGCATGATGGTACCCTTTTTCTGTCTATAATGAAGGAAACCATCTGCTGGAATGTTTTATCCTTCACCCAAGAAAGTTTTGAGGAATTACTAGAAAATTTGTTTAAGAAAATCTATAAAAGTGAGTCTGTGAAGTTTGAAAAAATCCTAAAAAGAACAGGGCATGTTTATCAAATAAGTTTTTATGCAAAATATTACCATTCTCATTCACATTCCAGGTCCCTGTAGATCAAAAAGAAGCCCTAGCCTCCGATCTGATGGGCATGTTCGAAAAACGGCGCTTCAGAAACTTCCTGATCTACGTGCAAGATTTGCAGGAGGACGACCCGAAAACCTGGAAAGATTTCGATCCCAGAACCCAAAACATGACCGCCTTGTACGACAAATTCGGTCTGGACAAAAACACTCAGGATTTTACTGGTCACGCCCTTGCCCTTTACAGGGACGATGAGTATTTGAACAAACCTGCTATAGAAACTATTGCCAGGATCAAGCTTTATTCAGATTCTTTGGCTAGATATGGAAAATCACCTTATTTGTATCCTATGTATGGTTTAGGAGAATTGCCACAAGGTAATCATTCTAAATTAAATACAATGAAAATATTTCTGCTCTATTAACTTTTATTGCTTGGTTGATTATTCAATTTAAAAGATGTTTTTTTTTTTGGTCAATTATGTTTTGCCAACAATTTGTATATTTTTTAAAGGATTTGCACGTTTGTCTGCCATTTATGGTGGTACCTACATGCTGGACAAACCAATTGACGAAATTGTCCTTGGTGAAGGAGGCAGAGTGATAGGAGTGCGTTCCGGTAACGAAATTGCCAAATGCAAACAAGTAAGTTTTCATAAATAAATGACCTTAAAATTTATGTAATTTTTTGTAAAAGGTTTATTGTGATCCCACCTATGTACCAGACCGTGTGCGCAAGAAGGGCAAAGTTGTCCGTTGCATCTGTCTTTTGGATCATCCCATTCCGAATACTAAAGATGCTTTGTCTACTCAAATTATCATTCCTCAAAAACAGGTGAAAATCTTGTTGTTAATGCACAAATAATAATCAATAATTTTTGCTCTTGTTTAGGTTGGTCGTCATTCCGATATCTATGTATCAGTAGTAAGCTACACCCATCAAGTAGCTGCCAAAGGCTGGTTCATAGCGATGGTATCCACAACGGTGGAAACAGAAAACCCAGAGTCTGAAATTAAGTCCGGTTTAGACTTGTTGGGTCCGATTCGTCAAAAATTCGTTTCAGTTTCGGATTATTACGAGCCTACCGATGACGGTTTGCAGTCGCAGATTTTTATTTCTGAGACTTACGATGCTACCACTCATTTCGAAACTACTTGTCTGGACGTGCTGAGTATTTTCAAGCGCGGCACAGGGGAGGAGTTTGATTTTTCCAAAATTAAACACGAATTAGGCGACGAGGAACAATAAATGGTGCTTTTTCTTATTTTATTTTTTTGGTAAAGTTCTATGTGCGATTTTGTTGTATATTTTTTTTTTAAATGCTAAATTTATTATATTAGGGTCCTTTTAAGTGTTTTACCAATATATCAGAAATGATAAATTGGATCTTAGGTAGGATTTTTTTAAAGCTGTGCAACTATTTCTTGAAAAAAATTGTTCCGAAATCCTAAAAAATGGATTAACAGGCTTTGTTTATTATTATTATGTTTAAAAATATTTCTTGTAATTTGCTTATAGCCTTATGAATCAAATTTCAAAAGCAGTATAAAGACCTATAGAAATTAGTTGTCTTAAGTTAATAAGTATTATACACTTTTGGTATTCTTAAATTTATTAATAATAAATAAACAAAAAATTTCAATGCATTTACCTAAACGTTATAATTTTGGCTTTATTGAAAATAGTTGATTAGATATTGAGAATTGGTCCTTGTTCCAAAAACATTTTAATTGTGATTGAATAGAAAAATAATGTTAAATATAATTATTAAGCACTCTCCCAGTATATTATAATGTAATCCTAAAACTATTGTTATATTTGTATAAGATGATCATTCATATAAGTTTTTTTTTTGTGTTAAAGGATCTGGCTTTAAAAGGTAGAGTAAATAATAAAAACATCTTTTTTCTTTTTTTTTGTTGAAGATTTATTGGATAATAATGCTATACATGTATATGATTTTATTATTAGCTTAATGTTTGTAGTACTTCCCTGGTTGGAAATTGCTCTTGGCATTTTAAATAATATTATTTTGTTTCATGGAACATTTCAATAAACCCTTAAACGAATTTTTGTTGTGTTTTTCTACAGGAATTTATTTACAGAGTGATTCATTTTACAACAGGAAAGATTTCTCAAGAATTTAAATGAAGAAGTATAATGAATACTAATGGAGAAACTCACAAAAATACCAAATGTACCTACAAAGTTTGAGACAGATCAACCAGAAGAAATAAACATCCCTAGAATAAATTATAGACAAAAATATAGAATTTGTTGCGAGAAAATCTCTCAATTTAATGTAGTTTTAAGTTATTTCTGAACGAATTGAAGGATTTATTTGGAAATTTTTGTATTACATATCAGAAGCTGGAGATGATAATTTCTCTATATAATAAAGGGATAATAAATGAACAGGTCAGGTCATGAAAAGGACCTTCTTCATCAGATTTGACCGGCTGTGAAAGCATAACTATTATGCTGCTTGAGGAAATTATTAGTGAATAATGTAAATTTGGATACAATATTAAAAAATTCTGATACATTTTGCAATGAAACGTTTAGGAATTACCGAGGAATTAAAGGAAATATTGAATTAGTTGGAGAATTATTCGTGGAATTTGGGACAAGGTTAAAAAAAACTGCCAATATTTCCATTGAAATTTGAACAAACTAAAATAAATTATACTCTGTTAGAAGAAGCATAAAATTCTCTATAAATTTTGAGGGCATATTTTTGAGGCTTACAGGCAAAACATACTAAAAATTCAAATTAATTGAATGAAAAATTGCAAAGTTACTTACAAGGTTTTTAAAAACGAAGATTTTCTCACCGGGAAAGTTGAGGGGCTTATCAGAAACAGGGTGATAGCAGTGGCGCACACTCGATAGACTTACGGATGCACGTTTATACGAAAGTACGAAATTATATAATCAGATGACAATAGACTGGTCTCGTATATAAAAAGAGCATATATGGTTAAAAGTAATGAGATAAACTGGGAGAGAACATACATGTGCGCGGCGCTGGGAGCGTTAGAGACATTTTTACTGTAAACGAAGGTACTGTCAAATTTCTACCTATTGGCCCCCATAGGCGCCGAAATTTCAAAATTACCATAGGGGCTCGGACTCCAAAAATTAACATTAGATATAAGGACTAAGCTACTAGACACATAGACTTAAATGGGACCAGTTGACAGATACCCATTTCACTGCAGGATCGCCACGCTGGATCGTTGATCGTCCCTGTAGGTTCCTTCATATCTAAAATTGGTGCATCTTCGGCAGCTCGGCTATACTCGGCTTCGACAGCACCATTCGCGTAGTCAGGATTTTGTCTTGGTGGGGGGAAAGAGGCAAATTAGCAGGAAGTGATCCTTGCAGCAGTGGCAACTGCAGGAAGAAAAGCGCTACAGCCGCGAAATTTTTGGGTCTTTACGGTATTTTTGGGATTTCTAATGATGGGGTCAAGCGAAAATGCGGCTATTTCAACAAATTTGATGAAAATTTATAGTAGAACCTTACTTATATTATGTAATGTAGGTACCTATGTATTTGATTATTTTCCATTTTAAATTATTAATAAAATTTAAAGGCCTTTGCCTTAACCGGCTACAAACCAATTCGACCTATTACTCCCTACAGGTTCGACAGGTCAACAACAGGCCAATTTTAATGCAATAGGATGAAATGTCTAGAATACTCTAGAAACACTCTAAAGTTGAATAGAGAACGAAATATAACGATTTTCCCTACCCCACTTCCAGCATTCCCAATGTTTTCTGGCCACCTTGTTGTCTCCCTCCGCTTTGCGACGGGAGGCAAACCACATCTCGCTCTGAAATCTTAATACTTTATTCTCTTGTATAATGAATAACTATTATTAATATCTTTCGTGGTTAAAGTTGCTCAATGTATTGGGATATAGAATATCATCCATAAGTCTTTGGAATGTAGCCGGCGCGTTCTTCAAACCAAAGGGCATGCACAAGAATTCATAATGCCCGTTTTCTGTGCTGAATGCGGTTTTTTCGATGTCGCTCTCATGCATCTGGATCTGGTGAAGCCGCTAGCTGAATCTAAGGTGGCGAAATACTGTCAGCGTCCCAGCTTGTTTAAGAGATCCGTTATGTTGAATAACGGGTATTTGTCATTTAAGCTTTTTGTATTAAGGCCCCTACTATACTAAACGAAAAAATATTCAAACTGTTTGTTAAAGTGGGTACCTATAGCAAAAAAAAACAAAAACACACACACACAAGTTTGATATATAAAAATAAAAAAAAAATAGTTAGGAATGTTAGGATCAGGAATTCAATATTTTTGTACTTACCCACTACACCTACTATATACAATGCCAAAATCACTATGGGGGCTCCGCCCCCATGTAGATTGTAGATTGCGGGGGAGTCGTTTCGGTTTTTCAGCCGCTCAGCACTGCTACCTTTGCAGATATTTTGTACATGACTCTAAATCTCAAATTGTCTCCAGGAAGCGTAGACTTCTGCCGAAGGAAGCTATTTTCCTGGGTGTTAGTTAGCCCACTTCTTCTGGTGACAGTGTTGCCCCCTCGAGGAATTTGAGCCTCTTACAGAATTGGGCTGGACATTCGCAGAGCAGGTGCTCTGCGGTCTCTATTGCATCTGAGCAGATTCTGCAGAGATCCTCTTCCGCTCTGCCCATATTAACCTTAAATGGTATTTTACTGGGCAGTGTCCTGTGAGCAGTCCCACCAATCTGATGTCTGGTCTGCTTATGCTTAGGAGCTGTTCAGCTCTCTTTGCTGGAAGGGTAATAAACCTTTTAGACTGTCTGAGTCCCGGCATGTGCCTCCAGTATGATGACAGTTGGTCTTTCTGCCATTTATTGAGTTCTTCCATGATGTGGCTTTTCATTAAACCACAGTAGGGCTCTGGTCCATGGTATGGTGTTGAGGCCCTTTCCTTTGCGAGACCATCTGCTTCTTCATTACCTTCTATGCCTCGATGACCAGACAGCCACATCAGCGTTACCTGGTTGTGTGTCGCTAGTGTTTTTAGAGTCTGTTTACACTCCCAGACTAGTTTTGACGTGCATTTGAAAGCCCTTAAGGCTTTTAAGGCAGTTTGGCTGTCCGATAGTATGAAGATTTGAGGTTTGAGGCTTTGGCTAAGACACTCTTGTGCACATATATCTATGGCAAGCAGTTCGGCTTGAAATATTGTAAGATGTTTACCCAATGCCTTGGAGAGTTTGAAGTTAGGGCCGGAGATGCCCAGTCCAGCTCTTTCCATTAGCTTGGATCCATCGACCATCTGTGTACCACAGAGATGCATTGTCTGCTTGTGGCAATTCTTTATTCTCCCATGATTGGCGGTCGTTTATTACCACTGCGAATGGGATCTCTAAGCCCAATCTGACCATCATGTGGTCGCTTGGTTTGCTTGCATTCTCCAGTTTTATTAGATCAAGGTTTCGCAGATGTCCCCTCAGATCACCAGGCTTGAACTTGTCTATTTGGAATAGTCGGCGAATGCTGGGTATTGCCTCCTTTTTCACACATAGATAAAGTGGGGGCATGTTGAGTAGCGTCTCTAAGGCTGCGGTGGGGCAAGTTGACATTGCTCCCGTTATTCCTAGACATATCAGCCTTTGCACCCCTAAGTACTTCACTTCGTTGGAAAATGTTAGTTGTGTACCGTTAAGGGTCGGGGCTTTCAGATTTAGCCTCCTTCTTCTTGTGAACGGAACAAGGATTGTTTTGTTTGCGTTTAGGAATAATCCTTCGCCTTCGTTCCAATTTTTAACGATGTTTAGGACACTTTGCATTCGGCTTGTCACTACGCCTTCATGTTTGCCCTTGATTACAATGGCTAGGTCATCTGCATAGCCTATGACCTGGTATCTAGCACTACTCAGTCTGGTAAGAATTTTGCCTACCACCAGTGTCCATAGTAGTGGAGAAAAAACACCCCCTTGAGGACACCCTCTGACCGTGGTAGCGGTAGCTGATGCTCCGTTTATTTCAGCCGTAACGTGACGGTGTTTCAGCATCGACTCTATCCATTTTACAATTGGAACTTCAACATCCCATTCTTGTAATGCTCTGGCGATTGATTGATGTAAGGTGTTGTCAAAGGCACCCTCTATGTCGATGAAAGCTGTGAGAGCGATCTCTTTGCACTCGATTGTCTTTTCGATGTCTTTAACCAGGCAGTGTAAAGCACTTATTGTGGATTTGCCTGGCTGATAAGCAAATTGCTTCGAGTAGAGCGGTCTTCTCAATAGAGTTTCGCTTCTGATGTACTGGTCGATTGCTTCCTCCATTGTCTTAAGGAGAAAGGAGGTTAGACTGATGGGACGATATGATTCTGGTTCGTCCTCGGGTCGGCGACCCGTTTTTGGTATAAATATCACATTAGCTTCCCTCCAAGATAGCGGTATGTGCCCTAGGAGCAGGCTTGCCTTAAAAAGCTTTTGTAGGTGTGTAATGATCCAGAAATTAGACCCGTGAATCACAATGTCTTTACTGTAAAAATTAAATAATTAATCAAACAATCAAAAACTGAATTTCTGATATCTCAAATCAGTATCGATAAATTAAAAATGAAACAAATTAACGCTAACGTATTGCGACACCCGGCCAAGTCGTCATCTAAATTGAATTCTTAAAAATAATAAAAACGAGGACAGTGACATCACTAACATCCGATCAATGAACTCTTTTGTTAGCGAAGGCCATCGGCGTACCTAATTAATTCAAATGATTTATGGCATTCTTGAATCCATAACGTTTTGACCTCAATAAATCAGAATATTGCGACATAATTAATCGATTTCAGGCTAAAAATGATATAAAATTCCAAGGAAATTGCATCATCTTAATTGTCATGGACAAAGAGATTTGGGGGCATCGATTTTATATAAATACCGCGTTTGAGTTGCCGGTTATAGTTAGTTGCCAGTTATCAGCAGTCCAGTCCAGTTTGAGTAAAAGTCTACAGAACCAAATGAGTTTGTCCGGTTGACAATTTGCGAAAAGTTCTTTGAAGGCCTCGGGAAAGAAAACGCGTTCGATATAATTTGA